GTGGTGCTTCTGCCTAGAGTGCCATTTTGCCGGAACTCTTAAATACCCTTTTTAAGAAACACTGACTTTCATAGGTTACTTCACTTTCCAGAATTAACATGTTCATTATATATCATGATTTATAGTTGTCTACATTTTATTTTACAAGAAGAAACAGAATGGGAAAATACAGACCTGAAGAGGTGAAATAAATGCTTCTCACTACCAAAAGTTGAATTATACTTATCAATGTATTTTTTTCAAAATAACAGAAATAGACATCTCATTGCAATAATTTAGCCTAATAAAAAGCAGAAAGAGGCATAAAGAATTTCCCAAACAAGACTTGAAAGTTGAACAATTGTATGTAAACCCCATCCCACCCCATCAAAACGTAGTACTGCAGAGGACAGAAGTGATTGCTAATTAATGACTCAAGCCCTTTATGTGATACTGATTCCTTACTATTTGCTAGGTTTCGGTGGTTGCATGAAGGATGTTAGATTTACACAGGGTGCTGCTGTTAGCTTGGCGTCTGTGTCCAGCAGTGCTGTCAGAGTCAATCTGGATGGCTGCCTGTCAACTGACATTGCTGTTAACTGCAGGGGAAATGACTCCATCCTGGTTTATCGAGGAAAGGAGCCGAGTGTTTATGAGAGTGGGCTGCAGCCTTTTACAGGTAACGTGGAAATCCTCCACATCCAATGTTACGTGTCTCCTACATCCCCTTTGCCCTCGCCACCAGCCCACCACTGAGTCTATACGAGCAATGTTTTAATATCTCTACTTATTATTTCCATTTAAGAATACCTGTATCGAGTGACAGCCTCACACGAAGGAGGTTCAGTATATAGTGACTGGAGTCGGGGACGTACAACCGGAGCAGGTAAATGATTTATCTTAAAAGTATATGTGCACACACCTGCACGTTTGTGCATCCATGTTTGTGCATGTATAGACAAGCCGAGGCTACCACCCTGAAGTAGTAGTAGTTTCGTAATCTTGTGACAGAGCATGCCTTGGTTTGCAAATGCATCTGAAAATGGCAAAAACGCTTAGTAGATCAGTGCTTTTTTAATGTAGAATTTGCTTAGGCTTGATTCTTTCCTCTTAGAACGCAAACGGAAGGTCAGGTTGTCTTAAGGATTTAACAGGGGCATTCCTATGGCTATATGTCTAAAGAGAAACCACCTTACTGACTGCATAGACCCCCAAGAAGCTGAGGCTGGGTTACCACTAGATGAGGGTGGTCCTCTCTCGCAGAGAGTTCCGTTGGAAACCTGTACCCTCACTGGAAGCAGCTGTGTCTGTTATCACATCATGGCAGATGCTTGCCATGGTGTTGACTATTAGGGTCTTACAATGACTCTCCCAGGATAGAGCTGGAAGGAAACTGCTGATTTGTCTAATTTTTTTGAGTTGGAGGAGAAAGAACTGGGATAATAGAATACATTAGCTCTAACCTTAGACAACTGACTTATAAGTGTTTTATAGTTCTAGCTATGACCATAAAATTTTTTAACATAGGACTATCACAGGAAAGTGTTCATCATGAAAAGCTTTGAAAGTTAGTAGCTCTCTACTATTTTGGGTCACATATGTGTCAGAAAGGCAAACATATTTCCAAGTAGTTTCCATTTATGCCTCTTGAAGAAAGTTTATCCTTGGCAAGTCACAGTTTGTCTAAAGATGTGCTTTTCACCAAAATATTCTCTCAAATTTATTATCAACAATGGGTTACCAGCCCACGCATCCTCTGAGGAATTTTCTTCATCTTAAAGAAAATTAAATACTGAGACATTGTTGTTGTGTGCCATTGAGTTGATTCTGACTCATAGCAACCCTGTATGACAGAGTAGAACTGCCCCATGGGGTTTCCTAGGCAGTAATCTTTATGGGAGCAGATCACCAGGTCTTTTCTCCTGCGGAGACGCTGGTGGGTTCGAACCACTGACCTTTTGCTTAGTAGCCAAGTGCTTAACCATTGTGCCACTAGGGTTTGAGTTGGGCAACTGAGAATTATTTTCAAGGCTTTCTGCCTATTTTCCAGAAGAGAAATAGTGTGGCACTTTTCCAGGATGATTTAAAGTATCATCTATTTATAAACAAGTAGAAGCTGAATGATATCTTAAAATCCTTTTTAACTTCAATGCTAGGACAAAGCTCTAACATAAAATGTTCATTTGGTACTGGCGTGTTCTCTGCCCTATTTTACACCTCTACCTTTGTAACAAATATAAAATCTGCTGTGAGGACGATTCAGTGATGTGAGTAGGTGGCTTGAAATTGCATTTCTCAAGTAGCTTAATTGTCTCCTTTTTGAGTAGCACCGAGGAAGAATGCAAATAGAAGTCTGAATTTATAGCAATGATCTGACAACAAAGTCTTCCGCCATAAATTCATATTTACAACCTGACCACAACACTGAGCAGCTACATGCTCCCGAGGGGTGGAGAATAATTGCACTATTTAATTATTTTTGAGTCAGTTTTGCTCTGTCCCTTATGAGAAGACCATCTGTTAGACAGTACTGTACTTTGCCCTGTACCACATTTCAGGACTAATAAAATCAACATCACTCTCATTGTCCGTTTACTTGCACCACGATTGTGTGGCAGCTACTGTTTTCTGTAGGCACCTACGGTATGTTAAGTGCAGGGACAGTGGATCTCCACCTCAGTGCTCCTCCTCATCCTTTATGTTCACTTCGTTATCTCCCCACTGCCCTATGCTGAGGGTCTGAACAGTGAAGTCAGAGAAGGAGGACGTTTGATATGGGAAAGCCAGAGCGAGCCTCCATGGATGGGCCTCACAAGTGCACCAGCAGCTGGAGCAGGTCGCTCATTCATCATCCTGCCACAGAGTTCCTTGGGCTTTCTCTCGGTGTCCCCAGTGCAGTCGGCTGTGATGAAGTTGTTACTGATCAGAGCTGTAGAGACATGTAATAAATAGTTAAAGGTTATGGATTTTTAAAATTAGGGGCCCCTGCTCTGCAGTTCCTTTCCACTGTCTCATTCGGGTTATTGTTTTGAGATACTCTGAAGAAAACGTCTCTGAAAAGGATTTTGTAAAATCTCAAGGGCACCAGCCCCCCAGCCCCCCAAAATGCAATTAGGAATGTATCCTGTAGATCAGACTTGGTAGAACTTTGCTTTTTAAAAATGGATTTGAAAAACGATTGTATTTGGAAAATGTAACCAGAAATTCAAGTACAACACAATCACGTTTGTGATATCCTTTGCCTAATACATTGAAGATATAAAAGTGTCAAACCACTATGTATAATAACAGTCTAATTATCTTGCTTCAAAGGGGTACATCGTTATATTGCTTGAACTTGTTAGCTGCCCACCATCCACCTCCTTCTTTATGAGTGATGTTTAAACATGTTGGATACATTAAATGTTTTTGGAAAACCTGGACTAGACTTGAAAGGACGTTATGTCGATGGAGTTTTGATGGTTTTGAAATATAGCTTAAACTGAAAGGCTCAAGATGTGCAGTCATATTAAATCAATGCTGAAAAGTTACAACTCTAATAAATTGTATTTATGCTAATGGTTGAGTCTGATTTACTGCGGCCATTAAAAGTGAAGAATATGGGCAATAGTCTTCTCTGAGCTGCCATTTTCTCTATTTTCTATTTTATTCTTTCGCAGCTCCACAAAGTGTGCCAACTCCCTCAAGAGCCCGCAGCATAAACGGATATAGCATTGAGGTGACCTGGGATGAACCTGTTGCGGTTAGAGGTGTCATTGAGAAGTATGTCCTGAAAGCACACAGTGAGGAAGATCCCCAGGCACCCTCGGCCAGTACTGAGTTGGTCAATACCAGCACCCTCACAGGTAAAGGAGATTCCTTACTGGGGGAGACTATCAATTTCCTTTATATTTTTTAGAGAAAATTTTTCTTCCAGCTTTTCCACCCAATACATTAATATATTTAGATGTTGTATACACAATATATATATAATACACATATACATATATATGTACATACATATACATTACGTATATACACATACATTTGCATATGCATATGCAGATATATCTCCTGCTTAAAAACAGCAACAGCAACAATCATTTAATCATTTAAGGTGGTGAAAGCCTGTATCTCCTTAGGATAAGAAGGCTGATCTGCAATATTCACGGACTCTCATGGATGGCTACATTACAAGGTTGACATTCTGTCCATCCCCAAAAGATTAGGTCATAGGTGGCTATAACTAGTTAACACTCCATAAGCCCCTTTTTAGGGATCTGACGTAGGATCATTATGAGTCGGAATTGATGCGACAGCAATGGGTTTGGTTTGGTTTGGTTTTTTATGTGCATATACAGGACTGGCTTACCTATTTCACGGTGCAAAATTTACTCTTTGGGACTAGCCCAAGTTCACACCACGGTTTATTATTGTAAAATTGTTGATTAAACCTAATTATTTCAAGGTGGGGAAGTATCAGGGCACCAGCAGTTTGACTGGCAAGTCAGTGAATCAGTTTTGCACGGCGTGGTATGCCAGGCAGAACGGTTAGAGGGGAGCACACTCACACACACACCCCGACGTGCTCCACACCAAGCCACGCATGTGTGGTAAGACGGTGTGTTTCTGTTTCACAGAACATTGAAGCACATTTAAATGGAAAGTCAAATTTAAGTCTTTGGCCAAAAAAAAAGTAAATGGCATCAACAAAATTTGGTGGGAAAAATTTTTTTCTCTATCAAAAAAATTTTATAAATTGAAAAATTACATGGCTTTTACAGTAGCCTTAATTATCTTTCCAACATATCTTTCTTCAGTCAACCCCTCACAAACCTTTACTTCTGTTGATAGTGTCTTTAAAATCTACAATCCAATTATATGACCAATTAAAAATAAAAGTCACCCTCTTCCTTTTCTTTTCTTCCTGTTTTACCCACCTGATAAAAACTCAACCTAGATTATGTCCATGATTTGCCTTTGCTCAAGTTACACATGTGAGCTAGGCTGGAAGAATTCAAGCAGTTAATCACCAAAAATTCTCAATTCCCAGCTTCAGAAGGGACTCAATAATAACACCAATCTTAACCATATTTCTATAACAAGCTCCTTCTCCCATTCTCCACATGAAATATTTTATATTTTCCCAAACTACCCAAATGCTAACCTCCCTTCCTCATCCCACACTCCACTGATGGTATTATATGTCAGATCATTTTAGACACCATAGAAAAAACAGGATCTGCCATATAGGAATTCTGTCACTTTCCTACTACCAAATATACACAGTTACTGCATTTTCCTGCCTGATAGCACTATTATTAAAATTAAATGTATTAATAAAAACACTTAGAACCACTTCTGGTGTATAGTAGCCAATTGCTATCATTATCATTTTCATTATTAGTTTAATTTTCTTTCTTTTTCCTTCCTGTTACTACAGAGCTTGCCTTATCCTATCCAGTCTGAACTCTTCACAAATGCTCTTGACTCCAGTTCTTCCTGCCGTTCAGAGATGATATTGATAGTTTATCTTTCCCTCACTTGTATGTTTTAACCACCCCCCCGCCCACGGTTCACAAAGTTTGGTTCCAGGACCAGCACCAACAGCTTAACCTGAGAAGTTGCTGGACCTGTGAATTAGAAACTCTGAGGTGGAGCTCAGCTCTCAGTGTTTTAACAAGCCCTCAGTGGATTCTGATGTTCACTGAAGTTTGAGAACCACTGCTCTGCTGGATTCGTCCCACGACCATTCAAACTCTCTCTAATATCTCTTGTTTTAATACACACAGACACACAACCCAAGCCAATTAATGTCTTCCTTTTATCTAAATCCTATTCTCCTCTAGCTTCCACTTCCTCTGTCCTCTTCCCAGCCTTGCTTCTCAGAAGAGATGTGTACACATATTGTCCCCATTTCTTCACTGTACCTGGCGGCTGCTCACTTCTCTTGCTAAGGATGCCAACAGCTTCCATGCTGACGTATCCAAAGAGCACTTGACAGGCTTCACCCTCCCTGCTCGACAGTGGTCCACACAGGACACTTCTCATCATCTCTTGAAACATGTCTTCACTTCTGTGACTTTTCTGTTTGTCTTCTGGCGTTCAGAACCCTTCTTTTAGTTTCTTTTGCCAACTCCCTCTTCTGAAGCTTAAGATTACATTTTGAAGAGCCTCAGAGTTTAGGCCTGGGCGCTCCAATCTCTCTCTCTCTCTTTTACTTTTTTTTTAATAGTCTTTCTCCAGGATACATCACAGATATCCATAGATACCACATAGGTGCTATTGTTGTTGTTAGCTGCTTTCCAGTTGGCCCCTGACTCATGGCAACTCCATGTACAATAGGATTGGACTGTTGTGATCCCTAGGGTTTTCACTGGCTGATTTTTTGGAAGTAGATTACTAGGCCCTTGTTCCTAGTCTCTCTTCATCTGGAAGCTCTGTTGGAACCTGTTTAGCATCATAGCAAAAAGCAGGCCTCCACTGACAGACGGTGTGCTGAGGTGCATTGGCTGGGAATCTAACCCAGGTCTCCTACAAGGACGGTGAGAATTCTACCACTGAACGACTACTGCCCCCTATGTAGATACTGTTGTTGTTGTTAGGTGGAGTAGAGTAGGTTCCGACTCACAGCGACTCTATGTACAACGGAATGAAACACTGCCTGGTCCTGGGCCATCGTTGTTGACTCCTAAAAGCATGTCTCATCAAGATCTCTAAATGTGTGCATTCACCAGACCTTCAGATACATGGACATTTCCAGTTGGATGTCTCATAGTCTCTAAAGTTACCATATTTAAACCTGAGCTTCTGTTTCTCCTGCATTTCCAGTATCAGTAAATGATACCTCCGGCCACCGAGTCCATTAAACTTGAGTGTTACCCTAGACTTTTCACCTTCTTCATTCCTCATATCCACATTTCTCAATTCACTTTCCAAAGTATATGTTGAGTTCATCCAGGGTGCCCCTCATCTACTGTCCAGGCCAAGCACTGTCATCGCTTTCTTGGACTACTGTAGCACTCTTCTCTCTTAGGTCTTTTTAGCTCCCCTCCTGCTGCCAGTCTATCCCACAGAGCAACCAGAGACTATGTCCTTCTCCTCAAAATCTTACCATTGCTTCTCTCTCAATCTTATCTCTGTTTCCCATCATTTCCTGGTTTTTCAACTTTTGCTGTTAAAATATGATTAAAAAAAAATACCAGCATGGACATTTTGGAAGAATTTCTGACTATAATTGTAGGATAAATCCCTAGAAATAGAAAAACTGCTGTCAACACATACAGTTTTGGACTTTGAAGTCAAACAGACATTGATACACACCTCTGCCATGCATCTTCTCTGTGACTTTGAGAAGTTACTTACTCTCGCGGATCTTCCTTTTACCTCTTAACCTATTAAGTTGGAGAATAATATTTACATTAGAAGAATATTAGAATATTAGCTGATATGATGTCCCAGCTCTGGCACTTTTTAGCTATGTAAACTTGGACAAGTCAGTTAACTTCTGTGTGCTTCAGTTTTCTTATAGGTAAAATGAGGATGAAACATACCTACTTCATAGGGTAGCTGTGAGGAATAAATGAATTAATGTATTCGTAAGGCACATAGGACAATGCCTGACACATGGAATGCACTTTATAAATGTTATCTCTCAAATATCTGTAAAGTGTGTAGTGTGGTGCTTATAATATGGTAATCTCTCCACAAAGGATTGTTATGTTTATATTTCAAAATACCCAACAAAAGTTGTACAAATTATACACTCACTGGCAAGCAGAATGCAAGATTGCATATTTCATTTCATCCAGCCAACATCAAGTTTTACAGTTAAAAAAGAAAAAAATCTTTGGAAATTTGAATGGCAAAATATCTCAGAATATTATTTTAATTTGAATTTATTTGGTTACTAGAGAGATTAAGTATTTTCAGTGTTTATTGGCCATTTGTACTTCCTTTGTGATATATCCAGCTAGGTTCATTATCAGTTATTCCATTGGAGGATTCACAGTTTTCTCATTGATTTAAAGTACCTCTTTACATATGGAGAATATTATAGCCCTGTTTACCTTATACGCTGCAACCTACCCAAGCTTGTCATTTTTTTTTTATTTTGACTTATGTTTTATTTTAATGTGTAAATTAAAAAATAGTTTATACAGCTAATATAGTTTTTCTTAATCTGTTAATTTTCTAAGGGTGATTTGAAAAAAATCATACTTTCCATTCAAGATAGACTAATATTTATTTATATTAGATATAACTTATAGATAATATGTAATGAATATTGTCTGAATTAGTAATTCTAAATTTGGGGTAAGAGCAAATCAGAAGCTGGGGGCAAGGAGGTTTTTTAAATTATTCTAGCCTCTCCTAAGACTCTGAAGGACGCCTCTCTAGGGGAGTGTACCCCCAAATTGAGAACCAGTACAGCATATTGTTAGATGTTACGGTAGCGCATGACCAGCATATGAATTATGTGTATGAAGATGAAAATTAGAGAACCACTGTTATTTATTTTTATATACCCAATCTGGATATATTTTATCTACCAATCTGTCAAAAGCTAAGGAAAAAGTTTCAAATATTAATGTGATTTTGTCAATTTCTCTCTGAGACACTCACTCTTTGTTTGCATTTTTCTTTTTCCCATTACCTTTACATTCACATTTTAAAATTGTAACCCTTGGAGTCACAATATTTTAGGTATATCTTTGTGGGTAGAATCTAGTTTGATTTAGTTTTCTATTCCACTTGAGATTCTGTGCATTTTAGTAGAGGGGTTTAACTCATTCATGTTTATTTTCATAACTGATAAAAGTGCTCTCATTTTTGCATTCATGTTTTATGCCTTCCAGTTTTGTTT